GAGCAGGGAGCCCAATGTGGGGCTCGATCCCAGGACCCTGGGATCATGACCTGAGCCGAAGGCAGACGATTAACGACTGAGCCACCCAGGTGCCTGATACCTGGCTGCTTCTAATGAGAAAGAATTACTGACAGATATAAAATAGGTGAATCCCAGACATAATGTTGAGTGAAAGAGCCAAAAACAAAGCAAGACGTGTAGGTTCCATTTACCTTAAATTTAAGAACAGGTAAAACTAATCTATGGTAAAAGAACTTAGATTAGTGGTTACTGTTGGGCCAGGGAGAGTACTGACTGGAAGGATACAAAAGAAAACCTGGAGGTGTTGGAAATGTCCTACATCTTGATTTGGGTAGTGGTAACATAAGTCTATACACATGTAAAAACCCACTGAGCTGTGTACTAAAGATTAATGCACTTCCCTGTATGTCATATATTTGTTCCTATTTTGGTTTTTCTGGTCATTTTTCCTAGGAGGAGACAAAAGATTTTCTTAAAATCATTCAGTCTTTTTTTAATTCCGCAGAGAGGAAAACCATAAAGATCTACTAAAATTAAGCCACTTAGCTTTCCTTCCAAATTAAGAAAAAAAAACCCACTACCACTTAAGATTTCTGAAAGAATAAGACATAAAGAAATGGAAACAAACAAGAAAGGCCCATCACCACACTCTAAGCAAGAAAACAATGCCTATGACCATCTGCAGAGATGCTGAATGGACTGAATTCAGACAAAAGAAAAGGTCTTCTAAGAACCAACAGCAATTAGCTAATCAGCAACCTCTGTAACTGTTTCTGGAATCCCAGAGTTTCCTAATCTCTTATTTACAACACTACCTTATTTAAATAATCAGAAAAAGAACTGGGTCAAAAAACTTAAGATTAGGGATAATGAACCTGAAAGATAACTGGCCTCAATCCTTGTATTTTTTAAACTTAATAGAAACCTGAAGAGTGTTTCTCACAGGATATTCTACAGAAATGGATTAAGAAAAATACTCCAATCTTCCCAAGTCATCGTATCAGATAGAATCACTATAGTGAAAAAAACGTAATCTCTATGAATATTCAGTGACTTCTTTAAACACATTCTTTGTACAAGAATATTTGATACAAATCAAATAATGATTTTAAATGCAAATATTATCCAAATTTTCTGTAATTAACAGAACTCAAAATGATGCCCTATTGATAGAGAACCAGAAATGCAAGTAGCAATTCTGAAGAAGGCACATTGGGAGGAAAAGCAAAGGGAGCCTTCTCACCTGGTGTTTGTTTCTCACCATGTTTCCCCAGCTGGTCTTCTGGGCTTCTTGCATTCCCTCCTGAGGGAAAACATCCATTAGATTTGTAGACGCTCTTCAGATACTGGTGATACCTATTAAGCACCTTTCAGACAACCCCAAATGCTAACAAATCCAAGTACTCCATCTTTTGCCTAAAATAATCCAGAAGGGTCATTCAGAAATAGAAGTTGCTTCCCTTTCCATTCAGATGATGATGGAATATCAACACCTAGATGCTGTGCCTTCAAATGGCTCTGAACATCAACTATGAAGCTATCTAAATGAGGAATGGTTAGGATAATCATTTGTATTGACTACTTTCTTACTGTTTCTCCCCATTCAAGCCAACATCTCCAGCTCTTAAGTACAAGTTACTTCTCCACCATCACTTTCTAGGCCTCTCGCCCTCTCTGGTAAGGTACTAAGTAGAGAATGGTGCTGAAGCCCATGGAAACTCATCAAGTTTTAGAAATTCTTCTCAGAATCCTTGGAGGTCTCAGTAGCTTCTAGGTCACAAGCCAGTCTAACTTTTTAGCAAAAAGTTGTTTTTTTTTCTTTTTAAAGATCTAGGAATGGAAAAGATGTGCCCTGGGAATATTTCCAAAAATGCTTAGCTAACAAAGATGAGTAAGAACTTGAAATATTAAGAGCATGTTTATATGTGTGTGTGTATATGTATGTGTTTGCACAGAGAAATCAGAATACTGCAAAATGATCTTTCAACATTTATTAACCTAGTCTTGCCTCATGGTCCAATAAGCTTTCTAGGGATTTCTGCATTTGATCATTTCAGGCCACTCTCTGTGATGAGCTAATTTCTCTAAGATAATCCAGTTATTAAGAAATCAGTTTTTTCTTCAATAGATGAACCTCAACATGACCACTTCTTGGATGACAGCTTCTTATGGTGAAGTTTACTCTAATAATTTGAGACGACAGCATTTAATCTGTTGTCCCAAAGACCATCATTTCATCTCTGTCACTACCTCACCTTATTAGAAACTCAATTTCTGTCAACAACATTCATTTGGAAGTCTGCACGCTAAACTCCTTTGGGAAAGTATGTTTTAAATCCCTCTGCTTTTATAGGCTGTTTTGCAGATAACTTGCTGATGCTGACCAATACTAGCAACAATCAGTGATGAACATTACATTGCTCAAAATAAGATACAAAGATGAACCAAAAAGACGAACCACCCAGTGACCCAAGAATGGAATCTGGAAAAGATGAAACCCTTCAGGAAACTGCTAAGTAAAACCAAGCAAACCAAAGTCCCAGTATACTTGTTCTTACCTGTAATTGGAATTAGTTTCCAATGTATTTCGGTCTCTTCGACATTATTTGACTTAGATTGTCTGCGGAATCCATGTTCAATGGGAACAGTGGGACACAAACTGCAATCTTCAAAATTATTCATGCTAATTAAATTTGGATCCTAAAAATTAGAGTACATATTCAATAGCTTTCTTTTCAATTAATTTTTACGTCCAGAATAAACAAGTAGGCTCCACACCCAATGTGGGGCTTGAACTCACAACCCTGAGACCAAGAGTCGCATGTTCCACTTCTTTTTTTGATAGCAAATCCACAAGCTTCAATCTAAACATTACAAATGAGTAAAATCAGCATGGCAAAGTTAAAATACTCTGGTCTTTAATTAAAACACAATGTTTCCCCTCAAAACATAATTTGATGTTGATTTAGAGCACAGGTTGGTAAGCTTTTTCAGTAAAGCACCAAATATTTTAGGCTTTGTGGGCCAGATACTCAGGTCTGCCACTGTAGTGCAAAAGCTGCCAGAGGAAATACCTAAACAAATGGCTGTGTTCCTCTGTGTTCCACTAAAACCTTAATTACAAAAATAGGCAGTGGGTGGGGACACCCAGGTGGCTCAGTCACTTAAGAATCCGGCTCTTGATTTTGGCTCAGATCATGATCTCAGGGTTGCGAGATTGAGCCCCATGTTGGGCTGCCTAAAATTCTCCCTCTCCCTCTCCCACACGCACGCACTCTAGCTTTCTCTCCAAAAAATAAAAAATAAAATTAAAAAAGGCAGTGCACAGAGTTTGGCCCATGCTCCCATCGACTCAATTTAGAGTATTAAATATGTCAGGAAATGTTAATAATATAAGTTAGTTACATAAGTTACATACTTCCCCAAGTGGGTCTCCTACCATCATCCTCCTAAAATAATGGAGAAAGCCTGGGGACATGCATATGACTTTTATTCAAAGGCAGGGAAGAGAAATCGGAGGGAAAAGTGAATTAGAAATAAACCCTTAGGAAAATGGGGCCATCCTGTTATTGTTATTCCCCAGAGATGCAGCCACTTTTTGGGGGAGACAAGGTTACTTCTCAGCTAGAGATCAGTACTCTCTAAGGTTGCTTCATAAACAAACTGGATGTCCTGTCAAGCAATGCTGAGAGACATTTCAGAGATAATCCTTAAAGGACACTCACTTTCCATTCTTACTTGCATGAAAAATACTAAGTACCTAATCTTGTTTCTATCACTTTTGGCCAGCAGAAAGCCAATCTTTTGAGGATTCAATTTTATTAGCTATATATAAGCCGATATACATAATCCTATAAGCAGGAAGGAAAACAGCTACTTCTGCATTTATCCCTTTGTAACAGGGAATAACTTAGAAATACTCCGCTGGACAGATACTTTCATTGCAATGTGCATTTTATTTCTTTTTGAAATGGAAAAAATCCCACTGAAACACACCTACATCCTCTTTCAGACATTCACAAACCAACAAAGATAATCAAAAGACATATGCTTACTTCTTTCAAATGTAGTTTATGGTCAGTGCCTGCTTCACTGGTAGAAACAGCAATAGGATACTTTAACAATGATGTATCAACTTCTAGCAATGGGCTCTGAGTGCCCTTAAAATGCACATTTTCCATTTTTGCACAAGTAGGCTGCTCATATTCTTTCTTATCTGGGGGAGAGTTCAACTCATACTCATGCTTTTGCCTCAGCTCTTCATAGGCATCATCAGTGTTCAATCCTAAGGCTTTGTTGACTGTGTCTGTCAAGGATGCATCAGAATGACGTGCATTTGCCAGTGTTTCTGATAGCCAATTAAACAGCCGATGGATATCAGCAACACCGGAGTTAGAGGTATCCTGCTGCTGCTGTCTCAAATCAACATCGTGCCCAAGAGAGCCAATAGGCTGCGGAGACTCTGAAGGGAAAGAGAAAGAAAACCCATCTCTTAAAGTCAAGTTTGGAATGTTTGCATAAAAACTTAAAAATCAAATATATCTAAAAATTAATTATCATAAGATATTTATGGGCAGGAATCCAATCAGACCACTGGTTTAGACTGCACAAGTACATCCATCCCTTTCTTTACAAATATAACTAGTTCTAAAATTTTGCACACAGCGGGCACCCAGGGTCTTGGGATTGAGCCCCACATCAGGCTCCTTGCTCAGAGGGGAGCTTGCTTTTCCCTCTCCCTTTGGTGCTCCCTCTGCTTATATGCTTTCTCTTTCAAATAAATAAATAAAATCTTTAAAAAATAGTAAGAAAAAAATAAATAAAACTTTGCACATAGCTAAAAATTCCCATAAATGAAAGTTTATTTTCATCATAATTTGAAAATTGTATTAATGGAGAAATGAGCTCAGACATCATGTTGGTAGTATGGATAATATATATTAATATATTAATACCTGTACTGTAGTTATCTTAAACTCTACTACCAAAATCCCAATCAGTTTAATCCGTTTTATCTGACTTGAAAACAGATAAAATATCTGTACTTGCTATTTTGCAAAATGTTAGAGGAGGATATGCAGATTACATTTAAATCTACTAAAAAAACAAACCATGGCTTAATTTGATTTCTATCTCCTCTACACCTATTAGATTTTGTCTTTAAGATATCGACATTCTTGGGGCGCCTGGGTGGCTCAGTTGGTTGCACGACTGCCTTCGGCTCAGGTCATGATCCTGGAGTCCCGGGATCGAGTCCCGCATCAGGCTCCCTGCTCAGCGGGGAGTCTGCTTCTCCCTCTG